CTGTAGCATATTTTAAGAGAATATCACAAAACTTGTGGAAAAATTTTGCTCTAGCTTAATTTTGTGTGTTCAATGAACTTGTTACAATGAACAGTAAACTGAGAAAGGACAAAAATATACCTGTATTTGGGGTCTTTTAATGCATTATTGCCTTTTCTGTGAACAAAGCACAGAAGCAGAATTTATCACAGCAAGTTGGGCCTGGCTCTTTTGAGATTTACAAAACTGTATCTGTACTTTCTGTCTGAGAGGGTAAGAATTTTCCATTCTGTGCCTTTCTCTGTGCTTGGTCCAAGTATCACCTGGCCCATGGTGGTTTCAGATGTTTTTCTCTTTCCTTACAGTGTCTGAATGGGCACAGACTTCTTTCCAGTTAACATAAAACAATCTCTTGTGCTGACTACTGAACTCTGATCTTTGGCTGGATGCGTGCTTGTTGCCTTAAGCACATGTGGTGCAGAGTAGACCTGGAGTTGGGTAATTCATAAGAGCTGGGTATTATTATTATTACTACTGCTTGAAAGGGTCTGTATTATTTTGCACAGCAGTGTGGTCACCTGGCAGCAGGTCATTAGCATTTTAGGTTTCTTTCCTTCACAACAATGCACAACATGCTAATTAGAGGGTTTTGAAAGCTAAGCAACCTGTTTTAAAATCAGACATTTTAATTTGCAGCTTTAATGGCTGTATTATAATAACTGGCTTGGCTCACGGGAGAGGGGGAGAGAAGCACTTCTCATATTCCAGTAGCAAGGCCCAATATAACAGAGGCTGACAAAATTAAAAACCTCATAATGTGACCTTTGCCTGGGATAAAAGGCTGTTTCATAACAATTTCCTTTTGTTCTTTGTTTAAGCCATTACTCCAAAAGGAGCCTCCGATTAATCTAAGTAAATGCATCATTACAGTCCTAATCCATGTCCTTCTGTCAGTGTCTGTTTTAATTAAATAAGAAACACTAGCAGAAAGATATCACGCACAAAGCTGTGATTGGAGAAAGAGGGTTGTTTGATCAGGGTGAGATTAAAAAAGGCTTTACTGTTTTGTCCTTTTGCTCTGGATGCAATAATGTAGGTTAAAGGAAGAAAACTTGCCTAATAGTTTAGCACGTTGCTCCCCATTACAGTATTAAAATAACCAGATTTGCCAGTGAAACTGTCCCAGACATCCAATTAATTATATACAGAACATTCACAGACAAATGGTACAGCAGCTTGATTTGAGTAATTTGACACGTTAATATGTTTGGGACTGTATACACAGTTAGCCAGAAATTATATTCAAGTGCAGGTTTGGTGTTTTGGGTTGTTTTTTTTTTTTTTTTTTTTTTAATTTAAAAAAAAAGCATTGTGTAAAACTATTGATGAATTTAGGTACTTTCTTTAATTTAGTACTTGTGGCTTACAAATTGTAAACATGGTCTATTGCAAGCTTCTGATTTTTTTTTTTGTTAATATTTTTATTTCTCCAAAAATCAGAATACTTAAGAGACTCTTCCTCAAGGTAGTGTTTCAAGATCCCTGTGGTGAGGGTTTTTCTCCCATATCCAGGCCATTATTTGATGTAATGAAAAGAGAAAGTGTGCAACACAGAGATTGTTAATTAGTTTAGCCTAACAAGATGAAGATAAATGAAGCAAAGCATGGACTGAATGAAGCAAGAGGTCTTATTTACAATTTAATACTTCTTTATATTAGGCATTTTTCAATTTACAACAGAAAAGACCCTGAGTTTAAAGAAAATCTGTTCTGTGAGTACATGCAAGGCAACTTTACATTATGCAAGCAGTTCTAAGGACTGCTGAAAATGCCTTTTGGGTTAACCTTTAACTTTAAGTTTTCTTCCCCCTTTTTTTCCCTTTCACATTTTTTTTTTCTCATTTTGATTTACAATATGTTGATAAGAATAAGAAAAAAAAACCCTAAACTTTTTCCCATTGGAATAAATAACAAAGCACCAATGGGGACTCTTGCAAGCCCAAATTCTGTTGTTTCTGACTGTTTATATTAACCTAGAGTCATAGGCTCTTTTTGAGCAGTTTGTATGTGGAAAGATGCATTGAGAGATAACTATAAAAAATACAATAAGGCATAATTTTAATTTCTGTTCCAAAGTGTAAATCTGTTATTGCTTATACGTTTTCAACTATTCTCTTGCAATGAAAGCTGAGAGGAATCCAGGATAGTGTTATTCAACAATGATTAGATCTAATAAACCCATGGTTTCTGATTTGGGAGAATATTTTTTTTCTCAAGATCATGTTTATCTTTAACATTTTGTGAAAAGCTGTAGGCTTTACTTTCTTATCAATTAAGAAAAAAAAAAAGATAAAAGACATTCCAGAGGTTTTAGATATTTCTTCCTCCCAGTCCCAATTTTAAATAAAGAATATCCTAAGCTAACAGTAAGTTACAATTTTCATCAGTTGAGCCACTACATCTCAAGGTATATTATTCAGTTTCCCAACTACAAAGTTTAGGGTATAATTCTAAGGAAGAGGTGAAAAAAGATAAGGTCTATCATTTTTAATATCTACCCAACTAACCAAGCAAAAAAAGTCCTGTGTTGTGACTGACTTAGGCCTACCTTTATGAGTTTGATCTAAACCCAGCATTCTAAATGACGATCAAATATTTTTTTTTTTTTTTTTTTTTTTTTTTTGTAAATGAAACATCTTCCTTTTTACAGATTAATTGGGTCTGTCCACTATTTGACCTTCTGTCATGATTTCTGTCTGCAAAGGAAATGCCTGCCTTCCTTCTGCAGTAGCTAGACAGGACAGCGTTATCTAGTGTCACTACAAGCAGTGGTCTCTACAAATAGCATTATTATGGTCCCTATGTTTTTATCTTGGGGGTCATGAACAAATCCATGCAACTGCTTCTAAAGATTTCAATAAATAGGACTTTCTATCCAGACAATTGCCTTTTATATTACTTTTAAACAAAACTACTAGTCCATCAAGAGTTTCAAAAGGAAAACAATTCTACAGAGTGCTGGTATGGCAGCACAGACCAATCATTATGGCACCCATTCTCCAGTCCTTTATTTTTCAAGTCCACAACAATAGGTTGTTGATTCAATGGACAAGACCAGAACAATTAAGTTCTCTGTTTAGCAGCAGTGCAGCATTTTAATGCCCTCCTCTAATAATGGTCTCATTATTGTTATTCTAAGACTGGGCCTCAGGAGGAGGAATATTTGCTGGAGGTACGTCATTATCTTGCAAATTTCGATTAGCTCATCATGTTGTCTGTACTGTGAAAATCGTAGCTAATTAGGGCAGTCAGTTAGACTACCAGCTTTTGAGCTTATGAGTTAAAAGGTAGCACACTTGATAGGCCAATGATGTGAAAAAGGTGGTAAAAAGGGGGATTAGAGCTGTTGCCTTAGTAACTCTAACTTCCATCTGTGCGGGAACAATGGACCTGTGTTTCTCTTCCACCTTGGTGTAAAAATTGGTTTTGTTTCGAAAGGACGGGGCTTTTTATGACAATCTGGAATTCAGCCTAACGGGGTGTAGTTTTAGTTGTCAGGCAAGACCATTGGAGGATAGGAAAGATGAAAGGTCATGGCGAGCTCCAAGGACATGAAAGGTCATTGTCTCTTGTAACAATAGTGGATTGTTTTGTCCCATTATTTCCAGCCAACCACTCAGTCAGGTGATGGAAGAGATACCACCAGTTTAGTCAGGTGGAACAGGAGAGAAAGATAATGCACCTTCTAAAGAACAAAAGATAACTATAATTTGCCTTTATTAAACAAAGTTGCACTTATTTGTGACCATCCTCTGAAAAGGGTTGTTTACTGACTTACTATTCCAGCCTGCTTTGTTCAGCACTGCCTCTGTAGGCCATCACATCTCTGGGAAGCAATCCAATGTGTTAGAAAATGTTGTTTAAGCTTTCTTCCCATGAAGAGGAGCCCCCAGGAGTACCACTGATGTGATACTTAACAATAAATTTAGCTGTTGTAGCTTTCTCACATTATTGGTGATCTTAAAAGGTTTTCCTTCAAACACACACAGAATAAAATTAACTATAAATATAAAATAAATTTGCTTCAACACTTTATAGCATTTTACCATAAATTCTACAGTGCATATCATACAAAGTTTACAGCAAACTCTACTAGGTGCTATAGAAGAGAGAGAGAGCAGTAGACAGCAGAGACCTAGAGTTGTGTAAAAACAGATTTGCTATAGGACTGCTATTCTGCAAAGGGAAATAGATACGTCTCTTCTGTGCTGTGCAGTAACTTTTGGAGAATCTGTCCCTCTGTCTACGGAAAAAACGAAAGTACTGCAGTATTATTCAATAAAACAGCTATAACACAATTTACCAGGAAAGCATTTCTGTTGGTGAATAGAACTGTCATCTCTTATATTTTTCCTAGAGCATCCAAAACTCCAAGTCATTGTTTTCCAGGAAAAAAAAAGGCAAAAAAAAAAAAAAAAAGGCAAAAAAAAAGAGCAAGGCCTTTTTTATGTTTTCTCCATTTTTGCAGCATTGTGCCTCAGTCATTCATGCAAAAAGTTTATTTTTCTCTTCCTCTTCCCTCTATCCACAATCAAAGCGTATCCCAACGTCCATCTTATATCCCCAAACACAGACTAGTTTCTTTAGGTCAGGATTTCCAGAATGTTTCACTCTCCTATACTAGATCACTAAACCCCTTTACTGGGTTTGATTTAAAATCTTTTTACTCATTTCATGACAGAGCTGCCAAAATATATTGAATTCTTATGAAACTGATAAAATGTATGTAATTTGCCACTGTTACCTTTGAAAAATAAAATTGCATGTAATTGTTAGGTATCCCATCTTAAACTGTTCTGACCTTATTTGAACTCCCCTTTTTAGCTATTCCGGGCCTCTCTTATCTCATTTTTACTCCTGGCCACTCTTGCTCTTGCTTTCTGACAACACAGATGGACGGCCTTGCACAAACTGATAACTGTGGTAATTTCTCAGCACACTATTCAATACTAAAATATGTTATTTTCAGAATTCAGCAGGCGTGTGTCATATCTACACGTACACTGGAGATGAGAGGCTGACCAGTAGCGTCATGGGAGCATGCTGTCGTATGAGCCATTGGACTTTACAACTTTCAGTTTGTTGATGCATTGGTTTACTGGCTCTTAGGTTTAGTGAGTAGAGTCTTTAAGAGAAAGAAAGTCTTATTTTAAGTATTTAAAAGCTTTTAGTTTTTTAAGATAATCTATTCATAAACTTTCTCTTTAGCTCTTTATTTAATTGTCATGTGTGTACTATCGTGTTTTATTTTTGTATTAAAATGAACTGAACAGCGTAAGCTGCTTAGTTCAACATGGGAGCCCTGCAAAGGGTTAACCAGCAGAGAATTACAAATGAACTATCAGGAAAGTTGATTATTAATCCAGCAAGAGAGAAAATATCCTTCCAGTTAGCAAGAATTAGTACCTGAAGAGCTGATAATATTGTTCAGGCTGTTGGTGTGGAATGGCAAAGCCAGGTAAGCTAGACATCTTCTCAAAGGAATAAAGTATTTTCTTTCTGTTTTTCATTGTAAGAGAGTTTAGTTTTAAAAAGAATCTTTGTTGATTTACTTAAACTATCAGCATATGAAACGGTATGTGTCGATCCTCAGTTTCGTCAAATGAATGAAAGAAATTAAAATTGAAAGAAATTTAACTTTGGCAAGAAGATATATTTCTAAGCTATGCAGTGTATGTAATTGTGAAATATCATAACAATTCTTTACTGGTTTGTGGTTAAGCATGATAAGTGATTACAAAACCTGAGGAGTCCTTCACAACTGCAACCTAACGTATTACATAAGTCTGTCTTTAGTTGTGCTTGAACATATTGTTCAGGTTTATGGAAACTTTTATGTTGCAGAGCTCTTTCATTCATAGCAGTATTAGAGTTCAGTTCTCACATTGTATGAATGATTTATTCACGTTTGTTTTGATATCATGAACACATTTGTGTTCATTAAAAAACTTTTTTTTTTTGTGGGGTTTCAAAAATCTGTGATCTGGGGTTAGAAGGAAATGGATGTTTGGTAAACATACCACTGCGTTTATACAGAGGAATACAAACCAAACCATTAGATCAGCTGAACAAAATCTCCTTATAATTTTGGTAGTTTTCTAAATACTCAAAGCTCTGTCTTGCGAAAACTTTGAAATTTGTCTATTTGTGCTGCTGATACTAATCAATAGGTATGGTAAACATTTATTTTTTCAATGTAGTCTTCACTATTTAGTTTATTATATGAGATGTATAAAGCATTTAAAATAATGGTCTAATACGGTAGAAATTAGGAAGTCTGTATACTGTATTTAACGACTTTTCTTAAGTTGTGTCCTGTTACTTAAGTTAGTAGCTTTTAAAAAAAATAGTGATTTGCTTGTAGAGTGAAGTTCAATATGCATAAGACGTTACTACAGTATCTGTCTCGGTGGAAAATAGTTTACCACCTCCAGATTTTAGCCTGTATCTATGAAATAACCTGGAAGCTACATGAAAGGGATTGTGGTGATACAAGAATGAAAATACAGATAAAAACTGAAAGTAACCTAAATCTGAAGGCTGAGCCCCTGTAGCAATTTAGTTCTATATGGTAACCTTTCATGAGCCATAGAGAAAGGAAGAAACCTTTTGATTTTGAGAATGGGATTAAGATATGGCCTAGGGCAAGGGAGAAATGGAAAGAAGGGAAGAACAGGCAGGGAGGAAAGTGAAACAGAGAAGTGGCGTTTGTCTGACAGGCTTCGTTGTTTTGCCTGTGACTTTGGCCTACTCGAGCAGAGAGACAGCTGGTGGCCAATTTTCCTGAAGGGTGGCTCATCACGTTAGAGTAAATTAAAATCCTAGATTTTGCTGATGATGGAGCTATCAGGGCAACAAATGGTGGCATTTTGGAAGCTCTGCTAAATATTCAGATGCACAGAGAAGCAAATAACTTCTTGTGGCACGTTTTATCTGAGCATTTTTTAAGGAGAATGGGGACAACACAAGTAATGTGCTTTGCCTGAATTTGAACACCAGCATCTAGGAAATACATAAAAGCAAGAAAACCAATGATGAAAAAATTATCACACAGGAAATGATATACGTAGAAAAAACAAGATTGTAATTAGTGGAGGAAAGTAAGAAACTGATTAGAGAAATGAAGTTTCCCAGATGTTTAAGGAAAAAATGGAAGTTAAATTAGATAAGCTCTTTTAACTAGTTTTGGAGAAGAATGCTTGCTTCAGAATGGGAAAGCTAAAAATTAAAATTAGAAAAGAGCTGGCAACTGAGTTTAGCTCAACTGTTTTCCTGCACGAGTGACTCCTTGGAATGCTCTGCTTGGAACATCATCAGGAACAACTAGTGTAGTGCTGTTGAGGGGAGAAAAAAACCCCAAATGAAACTTGGTGTATGCTTATTTGGAATGATTAAGGTGATTGTATTACTTACGTGTGTAATAACCCACAAATTAGACAAATTGGTTTGGATTTTGAAGTAGTATTTCAGGATTTATTGCATTTTGTATGTATATGTAGGTGACATCTGAGCTCTTGCACCATTCTGGTTCAACTGACAGGCTTTAATAAAAATTTTAAAATTTACTGTAAGTATCAGCTTATTGGCAGAATCCTAAATCATCAAATATTACCTGCAGCTGAAGAGAAACAGTCTTGAAGCCCCCCAACTATAAGCTAGGGTGAATTAGCTGTTATTTCATTATTATAATTAAATCAACCATGATAAAAGTAATATTCTTAAATAAAAAAATGGAAGCAAAAGGTATTAAGCAGAAACTGTCTTTTTGTGCCCATTCTTGTTTCAAATCCAACAATATCATAGTGTAACCTGTGAAAAAAGTCCCACTACCAGGTCAGTTCAGTGTGGCTCTACAGCTGACTGGACCCTTGCTTTTGTGCCAGTTGTAGCTTCTCCGTTGTGCATTTTAAAAAAAAAAAAAAAAGTTAAAGTTGGACGTGTCTGGAATAGATTGATAAGAATATCACCTGCTTTACTGGAACTAGTTTGACGAAGCAGGGTTTTCATGTTAAATAAAATTGTTGCATTTTCTTCAGTGCAGACTGTGTAGCTCCCAGCCTGTTTGAAGGCTTAAGGTTGAGAAGTGATGAATTTCCAGAGGCGTCTGCCTAACTAGACATACATCTGGAAACATAGTTGCCATTGAGGGGAGGCTGCTGAAGCAGTTAGCCTGCAGCAAGCAAGCCATTCTTGTCATGACATGGTTGGGACTAGATGAGATGATGGGTAGGGTGGAGCATAAATATCTATAAGTTGCTTGATTCTCTACTTTGTAAAAACCTGGTAGTAGCCGGCAAGAAGCTTGTCTATAGAAGCAGATGGCCAAAGCAAAGGTTGGGCCAGGTTATTTTTGGTCCTTGGACCATACCTTGTCTGTGATGACAGTACTGAAGGAAGAATGTGTTTCAGTTCATTAGGAGCTCAGTGAGGCTATATGGCTAACACCGAAGTATTTTATAAGATTCAGTGTAAAGCTGCATAGTTCAAGGAAGCTCATGTCTTATTAGCTATGGCTAAGGTCAGTTATCCACACAATGAGGGGGAAACTCTTTCATAAACAAGTAGATAAATATGGTGCAGCTGGTGCTTAGCTGTGCTTCAGGCTGTTATATTACCAAAAGAGCTCATGAACAACTCCAGCTTTTACAGAGTCCTTACGGAGCATCAGCAGCTTAGAGTGCTCGGATGTAAAATCACAAGGTTGTGTCATGAAAAAAGGATAAATGCAGGGTGAACTCCTGACTTTGCATATAGCTGTCTATCTCCACAAGATGCTAAAGAGAGAATATAGAAACAGTAGAACTCTCCTTCTAGAAGCAAATAAATTGTAAAATGATAGAGCTGAAAAAAAGAAATAAAATCAAAGCTACCTAGTCCAAGCACCTGAATAAAACAGGCCTAGTGTCTTGGGGGTTTTGGTTTCAGCACAAGCTGCTAAGTGTTCCCTGTTTTTCAAAACTGCCAGTTATGTACATAGGTGTTTATTAGCACTTGATCAATCGCTGATAATGTAGAGAGAAATCTTTTAAGGCTTCATTTTGCCTTTGAGACTAGCATTTTTACCATCGTATGGAAAATAATTATATTTTAAACAGCTGCAAGGAGAGAAGAGCTTGAAGAGTTAATTGAATCATGTGCTGCTAGAGGAAAACATTTTTTCTTTCCTTTTTTTTCCTCACCAGAAGTAGGAGTTACATGTGTTCCTTATTACATCTAACATATTCCAATAGTTTTTTAAAAAAGACATACTCATGAAACAGTGTATTTCTCAAAGACACATTACTTTATTTTCAGCTACTAAATCCTGGAGCAATCAAACATGTGTCATTTTTCACCATCTGAACACAGTTCTGTGGTAGTAGTGGATGATAGTACATAACATCCATAGGACTGTAAAGTCTAATGCCCTGGCTGTCTTTACTACACAGGCTTTGGTTTTATTTTTATAGCTTCTAGTGAAGGATCCGTTGGTATTTCTTCCAAAGATAGTACAAATCAGTATTTGTGCAGTTATTAATTATTCTGGAGCCTTTAGACCAAATATTTTAATTGTAGTAAAAAACCCCACAAAACCAACCAACCAACCAAACAAAACCCACAGCAAATTTGCTTTACAACTGTATTCGCCCATGTTTGTGAGAGCCAAAGGACAGTAGATTGACTGTTGTCCCACAAATGGGTCTGTTTTACTAACCAGGCGGATGAGATTGTGCTGTGCAGGTGTTCAGTGCGGGAGGCAAACAGCCGTATTCCGAACAGAGTGGAGATTTGTCAGGGTGCTTCTGCTGAAATAGGTCAAACCAACCAAACTCCGTTGTGCTGGGAGAAGGCCAAAGCTGGGCCCTTCGGCAGCAGCTATATTGCACGGATGCTGCTCCTACGCCGTGACATCCTTTTGTGGCCTTTCTACATCTGGACAGGGATGGCTAATGTAAATAATATATAAGAGTTTGTCTGCTGTCTAGTAGTTTATGTGCATGTGCAAGTTTCCTGTCATTTTACAGTGGGAGAATAATCTATTTAAATGTTGGTGAGAATAGTAGCAGGCAAATCCTAACTGTTTATGTTATTTTTTTTTTCAAAACAGAGTTTTTCTCATGACCATACTTGTTTAATTCCAATTTAAAGACGTTTGTTCTACTTCTCTATTAACTTGGATTTTAAAAAAGCCATGTGTATAGGTATACGTCCCAATTTTTGCATGAAAGAAGTAAGCTAAATCGCATATATCTTTGTTCTTACTTTACTGGGGTAAGCTTTTAGCATTTATTGAGGTAATATATGTGGTTTACTAGCACTTATGCTGAATCTTTCTTGTCTGTGATTTTTCAGTAGACTGCTTTTTCTTTGCAAGAAAGATTTTTTTTTTTCCTATATTGTTGATTATTCTTTCTTTCTTCTTTCTACTTTTCTCATCAGTTGTAGTCCGTTTAATGCTATCACCACATTACAGAGCAC